CCTAGATACAACCTGAATGCCCACCAGTGGGGAGCAGTTAATAAGCCACGGGATAGCAACACAATATGGAATGTTATTCAACAGCTAAAAAGGATGAAATAAGCCTGTGGCTATATACAGAAGTATCCTGAAGATGTCAAATGAAAAGAAGCAAGTTGTTCAATAACAAACACTTAATAGCATTTTATAACACCAAAACAAAACCTCCAGCTAAACCAGGTCACATCATTTGCCAAGAACATATATGTTTGTGAAGGTATAAAGCAAGGCCTGGAAACCAGGTCTCAAACCATCTCTGTGATTACTTCTGGGAGGAGAGGGCACTGGTTAACAAGGAAATAGACTTTTGCTTTTTCTGTATTATTGTACTCTTTTAAAATGTAGTCGTGTATAACTTGTGAATTGAAAGAGCTAAAAGAAAGCAACCCTGCAAATCACTGTCCTAAAAGTTTCCCCAGTAACCTTGTTCAAATTGTGTCTCTAAGAAAAGGTGTTTTTCAACCCAACACCAGTTCTGCCTGTAGTACCTCGGTTGCTAATCTTTCCGAATGACTCTTCTCATTTCTTGGTCCCATGCCCATGGGAATTTAGGTTTTCTTTTTTGGGGCAAAGGGGTGGTTCTTAGAGGTCACAGCAGGAATGGCTGTGCTCGTTGCCCTGAAGCTCCTGGATTAACCATTGCCCCCTATCATACTAACTGGGGGTTTTGCTCTTTGGTGATTTTCCAATCTTGTATTTTTCCAGTTTGCTTTGGGGCCAAACAGAACTCCTCCAAGGAGTCAGTACACACACACTTTGGTTGAGGCTCATGGTCTGATGACTCCTAAGGGTGTGGATTCTGGTTGTATTTGACCTCTGTATGCACTCCCACGCACCTGACCCATGTGAAGCTTAATTAAATCCTGTGCTATTCCTTGCTTCTAACTTATTTATATAAGGCAATTTCCCCCCCTGCTGATTGTAAGATCATCAGCTGGTGCTCTCCTCTCCCCTCCTTTTTCTGTGTTGGATTTGTTTTGTGTTTTCTTTGGGCCATCATTGAAGTGGATGAAAGGCAAATTACAGCTGTGAGAGCCCCAGTGCTCTGCACAATTAAAGAGAAAAAACAAGCCCGCACCTACCGATTGCAGTTGCCTCAGATGTGCAGCCCACAATACAGACAAATCAAAACTTCAAAATGAAGCTCTTTTCATCACAGATTACAAAAAGGCCACAATGTTTGTGCAAAACAACTGCAGAGTCGGTGAAGGGTGGTGAGCAAAACAAACACCATGCCACACTGGCTTGGCTGGGTTTGGGTTATCTGGACTAAGAGGGCAGAAGGCACACTGAAACCATCAAAAGGGACCAGGTAGGAACAGAAACAGAACATACTGGGCCTTGACATCTGGTATTTATGATCCATGGCAATATAATTTCTGTAACAGTAATGCTTTGGCTAAGTCTGAAATACACAGGGGAATGTTTACTAGCAACAGTGCTGTGTTTGACAAGTAAGATTGGAGGACTACCAGTCTTTTATTTTGGGGGGAGAGAGAGTATCCCTAAAATAAATCTTGGCACTAGAATCAAGGTGGGATAATTCCCCAAAGTGGCTACAAACAAGTAATGCTAACGAAGCATAAGCAAATGGTCAATTTAATTCAGTGTGGCAAATTTGGTCCTTGGTCATCTCAGGAAAATGTTGACTGAGTTGGGGTTCTTTGCTTAAAATAAACACTTTTGAGATGCTTTCATTTTATCTTTTACTAATGGGAACAAATGGTTTTAAGGAAAGCCAAATGTTATTTAGACAAAATGGGTAACTGTGCTTGGCACTGGAGGAGCAAGCAATGCTCTAGTCATGGACAGTCTACACTCCTGCAGAGGCCAGACAATAACCATCTGTACTAACACAGTTTCCTGTAGGATCTGAAAAACAGAAGCCCGACTCCTTTGAGCAGCTCTTGGATAGGTTTTACATCCACAAAAAGCACTCCTTTCTGGGTCTAGCTATGGATAGGACCTAGAAAAGCAGGACTCTAGAAAAAATGAGGTCCTCTGGACATGTCCCTTTTCACAGGGTCTTTCCAGATGGTTCCTGGACCACTGAGAAAGGCCTCTGGCTTGATACAAGACTTTGGATGCATCTCTTGAATGATGGATAGTGGACAATCCTTTTGTGACCAATTCATGAGCCCTGTCTGAAAATCTTGAACCACTGCCTTTTCTATATTTTTTTCTGAACCCCCCTCTAATTAAAATAGTTTCAATAGTTAGATCAAAGACCAGGACCAAAGGAAAATACTTGTCAAACAAGATCAGGCTTTTTGAACAAGTTTTCTTAGCACAAAACTTTTTGCCTCTTTTATAAGATGTTCTACTCTCATAGTTCCAGACTTACAATAATCATACCATTATTTTCCCTACCTGCTCAAGAAGGAAATCTAGAATATCTCTGAGTCTTGAACGTACTACAAGTTCCTGCCTCCCCAACCCCCCCAGGGAATCACTCATAAATTGGAGCACAACATCCCCATGAAGCAATAATTTGGTAGGTGATGGGTAAGATGTCACTGCTTCTCCAAAGGAAGTGATCTGTCTCTGTAGAACTTAGCTGGTCCTACTCCCCCTGGGGCCTTTTGAAAGTAGACTCCCATCTCCAGGGATTTGCCATCAAGAGAAATTTTGTGGAATCACATTTAGCAATTTAGCACTTAGCAACTTTCACAAAATCCCACACCAATCATAAAAGTTGGCTCAGCTGCACAAATTGGATAAAACTCCTAACAAGTAGTAATAAAAATAAAAAGAAGGAAAAGCTGGCGTTCAGCCTCCAGGAGAAAACCCACCTACCTCCCACAGAAATGCCCTGTAGCTCAGAAAGGCGATGTGTAAACTTTGGAAATATCAATTTGTTCAAACCTACACTTCAACTTTGTTCTCACAGGCAAAAGAAAAAAAAAAAACCCAGGTGTTTGTATAAAAATATCATCATTTTATTACATTCCACACAATACATTTTCAAATAGTTTCCAACATCCACAAGTTATTTTGACACACAGGCAACTGAGCAATGCAAGGGGTATCACAGTTACAGGGGGAGGGGATGAGAACAGGAAGTAAAAATCTTTAGGTTTCTTGTTTTGCTGCTGTTCTTTGGTAATTTTGGATTATGTAGGTGCTTGCTTGCCTGCTAATTTCATATTAAAAGTCTTTTTAAAAGATAAGGTATCAACCTTAGAAATATGACTGGATTAACTATTCTGTTTTTAATCCCCAAAATGGGGGGTAAGGGGATAGATGATTTTATTTTATTTTAAGCATCCTATTTTATCAATGCAATGCTGTGATTTTTTTTCCCCCTTTTTCTGCCTTCACCAGCAATAGGTGATCTCAATTGCTAGCATAATGTCAAGGAAGGGGAGTTTTCACCCGGAGATAAGGGCTTCCCTCTAGAAGTATCATGAAATGATACTTGATGAAGCTTTAGGAGCTCCATCTAGTCCTTCACCTCATTTATTCACTGATTCATATTTTAATAGTTGTCCTCATGCATGCATGCATTCACCTGTCCACTCCATTTTTCTTGGAAGAGAGGACTCTTCCCTTCCTGTATGGAATACAGAATTTTGTTTTTTAAAGCTGCAAGGCATGGCATTTTACAGAAGACCTGCCCTTTTAGCATAGTACCTGGATAATACTATGAAAGTTGCTGGGAGAGAGAGAAGAGTGAGAGGGAGAGCAAGGGGCGGGGGAGGAGAGAGAGAGAGAGAGAGAGAGAGAGAGAGAGAGAGAAATTCCTAGCTGAAGAGTATCATGGGATTCACCAAGATTTGAACAGCCTCATATTCTCAACTATGGCATTCACATGAAGATGCCACATGGGGCACTGGGATAAGCATACAGCAAGTTCAAAAGTAGTTGTCATCTTCTTTTAAAGAAGGGTGTGTGTGTGGTCTCAAGCTACATGACAACAAAGACAGCTGCTACACTGGCTGGATGGTCCAGGTGTGGTTTCCTGATGCTTCCATGGGGCACCTGTAGGAATGGCAACCATTCTGAGGCAATGCCTGCCCCCAAACGTCCAACTGGATGTGAACACCCTCACTAGAGAGCCCTCGGTGACTGGCGTGTGAGTTGTCACATGGTATCCTGTTCCCACTTTCTCCTCGTCTCCAGTTGGGGAAGGACACCTCTTGAAATCTCAAGGTAGCCATGCTCTAGCCTTTCATCTTTTCTTTTCTTGGCAGGGCTGCTGTAGTTAAGACAGAGTAGCTCTTTGAAACAGAGTAAGAGTGGGAGGGCGCCATTCTTTCAGGAGGATGAAATGAAGCAGATGTAAAAGCTGAGTGTATGTGCTGGAGGGACCTATCTGAATATTCTGAAAGAATGCTAAAAGCCTCTCTCCCAAGCAACCAAAAAAAAAAAAAAAATCATTAGTATTTTGTTCTCAGAAGGTACCTGGAGGCTTTCAGCCCAGGCAACCGTCTTTGGAGAGAATTTCCCAGTGGGTTGGTAGCAGGAAAGTAAAAAATAAATGCCCCAACGCTGAGCACTACTACACTGTAAATATTAAAATACACATTTTTCTATCAATAAAACTTACGTCATTATTTATTCCATCCTTTGCACAGTATCATTAGGTAACTGCTCTCTAACATTCCTCTCCCTGTGTTGCTTAGAGAGGACAGATGGACAGTGTGGCGGTATCTGTACTGTTATACCGTCTCTCTGATCATGCAGCAACATCTGGTTATGTCAGGCCAGCCCACGAGGGTATATCTGCCAGATGCCATGGAATGCTTTAAGGGGTAGCACATTGGTACATTTAAACAAATCATTACTTTCTATTCTCTCATAATATTTAAATGAGTCAGTTGGATAGCCTTCTATTTTAGTGGCTATAGATTCAGGCACACATTAACATCACGAAAAGAAAGCAAATGATCCCTTTTCTCCCCCACATTTTACAAATGTTATTACAATGGCCAATATGATACCAACGAACACCTTCTTACTCAACCTCATCCCACAATGGGCCCAATGACCCCCAGGACGAGGAGACTTTAAAAAGACAACATCTGAATCCTTCCTTCTCTCTTATCCCTCCTGCTCTGAATTTAAACAGACTACTACTGCTTTTCCTACATCAGTCCCAGATTGGTTATTCGTTATGACTTGTTCCATGATTGGATTTAACCAATCAAAGCTAAACATTCATTATGAGCGTCTTTCTCATAAGGCAACACGAGACATTTGCTTCAGGGCTGGAAGTAGAGATGTTCCATATCCCAATGGCTGTTGTCTTGTGACTTCAAAGACACCAGGAGAAATGACAAGGGTCACGTCTGAGTGCACTGGGGAACCTTCCTCTTGGGCCAGGTGGGTTGGGAATGGGGCTAGGGACGGGAGGAGCCACATTGCATTCCATGTGGCCTCTATTTTTCTAGGTACCTGGAGATGACAATGACAGCCAACAGAAACCCAGCCAGAGCTAGATAAGGCAACAAAAAGCTTCAATCTCTTCTCCAAGTAAACAAAACTTGTACAGTATATTATTTTCTTATAAAATGTACCCCAGGAGAAGTAACACAAGAGTGAAAGGGGCCCCTCTCTGCACACACCCACACACTCCCCCCCACTGTGAACCAGTCTCTCTCTCACACACCCACACACCCACACAGAGCTATTCACACCTGTGATTGTAGACTATGTACATACACATAGAGCCAGGTTCCCCTCAAGACTCCTGGCAGCCTGCCCACCAAGGAGGGATGGGATAAGGCAAGGCGACAAAACAAGAGAACCAGTCTCTGGAAGAAAACCAGCAGAGCCTTGAGCTGTGAAGTGCTTTAGGGGTAGATGTCTTCTATTCCAAGATGCAGCATTACAGTTGGGTTTTGTTGGTTTGGAATCACAAAAAAGGAGAGAGAGAAAGAGAAAGAAATGAAAAGCAAAAAGAAAGAAAAGAAAAAGAAGAAAGGAAAGAGAGAAAGAAAGAAAGAGCCAAAGATCCCAAGGAATAAGGAGGATGGCTGGAGCGGGTAAGAGCGCTCCGGGTTGGGACCCTGGAGAGAGATGTCTGAGAATTCACACAGAGACTAGGCGAGGAGAAAAAAGTGCAAAATCGAGGCAACGTGTTTGCAGTCTTTCTTGTTTGTTTGGGTGCTGTTCTTGCTTCGGCCCTCAGCAGTGCGAGCCGCGGTCTTGCTCTAGCTTAATGGTTAGGGTGGGCTCCACCGCCAGAGGGGCCCCGTTGGTGTAGTGGGAGGTTTTGTAGGTGATGGAGTGATCGGTCTTCTTGGCCGCATAGCGGAACCGGTGGTAGTGGAGCACCAGGGCCAGCGCGACGGAGACCAGCACCAGCACGGCGCCCCCGGCGGCCATAACGTAATACCAGTAGGCTGGGATGGGCTGCACGGGCACCGTGTCCACTGTGGGCTCGGTCCCTGGCGGGAGGGTGCCCCCTGGGGGAGAGACACAGAAGAGTGTTGCTAGGCTGAGAGCATGCAGACTCATCAAAAAACTAATTACAAAAAGAAAAAAAAAAAGGAAAGAGAGAGAAACACACACATGCTTTGGGGTGCACAGTGACTAGGACAGGGGCCAAGGTGGTAATCAGTCCCTTCTGTGTGCCAAGGACTTTAAAATGGTATTATGTCCTACTCATCCCTTTATGAGGCACACATGTTACAGATGAGAAACCAGAGGCTCAGAGCGGTTCAATCAACAGTGGTTATTCAGCTGGTGAGTAGCAGGTATGAGGTTCACTAAGAGCTGTACAATTATAAAGCTGTTTTTCTTTCTGTTTAACCAGTTTCTTTACAATATATAGAAGCATTATAATTCTCTCTTTCTCTCTCTCACACTCACACACACACACACACACACACACGCACAATGCTACAATGAGCTACTGGTATTCAGTTAGGCAGGTTCTCCATGTGGGTGGAAATACCATATTTGGTGTGGCTCGCCAGCAATCTCAAACAGTGTATTAATGAGGCTGGCTAGACTTGAAGGTAAATTCCACCTTAGCTTGCCAAGGCTTCTGTGCCCACTGAAATCAGCCTGGTCTTGTCTAAACAGGTCAATTACTACTGTCAAGCAATGACTAACCATCTTCATTTTTAAAAATTGGATGGAGATTTTAAAAGCAGATTGGAAGGGAAGTTGCAACAAAAAATGTAGGTACAAAGCTACCTGAGAGTGAGAGTGAGTGAGAGCAAAAGGAGGGAGATCATTCTTAACCATGGAAAAGAGAGTGGGGAGGAAAAGCTAGCAGGGGATTTAGAAGGCAACCATGTTACTGGCCAGCCTCTGGTTGCCATGGAGATGCTGTAGTAGATTTAAGCCCAGGGTAACTCCGGGAAAAGACTGGCTAGAGTCCCACTTGATGCAAAACAGTGCTACAACTTGATTCTCCCAAAGATTTACATCAGACGAGAATCTGGCCCAGAAAGGGACTAGGCGCTTTTGAGCTTGCCAAAACCAGACATGATCTTTACTTCTGAAAAATGATGTATACTTAACCTGTGAAAAATGCCTCCCTAGCTGCTTGCATCAAGTTGCTGGTGGCTAGAAAGATATGTTCCTCTACCCACAGGGTACGCTGGGGGAGGGGTGGGCACGAGAGGCGCTGCTGCCTCTTCGTGCATCCGTGGTACTCTGTGGACATGTGTGCCTCTCCTTACTATGCAGCGAGGGCTCATTTATATTTCTTGTCTCCTCAATCAAGCAGAGGAAGTCACTCGCATCTTGGTTTTACCTAAGGGTTTGTACAAAAAGGCACCCAATAAGTTCCATGTTCTCTAATTCCAATAGCCCAAACTCCAGAATGCTCCTCTTTTATTTGGGGAATGACTGAGAGGTGTGTCAGAATTAATGTCTTCTCAGAAATGGAAGAAAAATGACAGCATTTTCCTTGGAAAATCTTTCAAAGCCTGCCCACTTGCTTAACTATTGCTTCCTTCAATTTTAGGGATCCCATTTCATTATGGTGTGGGTTTATTGGTACCTCTTAGGTCATCAGAAGTCCCTTAATATTGGAAGGGCTTTGATAGGTTGTGCTGCTCAGCACACTTCTTCAGAGTCATATCCTTGGGGTGAGAAGATTCCTAGGACCACCCAAAAGCCCCTTCCTACAGCCTCATGTTCTCCTAGCCTTTTTTACTTTGTCCCCAACTATTTCTATCTTTTAATAATTTAATTACTGTAGCTGAGAAAGGACCCTCTGTCTTTTTCTTTTATTTGCAGACATTCTAGAAATGATACATCAAAACAGAGAAAAAGCAAAGAGCTGAAAACGGGTTTTTGAAGTGGCTAGCTTGCAAGTCGCAGTGAACTGGTGTCAACTCATGATTCAGGTCATCAACTGTATCTGGCTGCCTGGCAACCATCCTGCAGCTGGATTTTCATGTGAGCTCATAAGAATGCACAGGAAATGACAAAGTGCAGATGGGACTAGAGTTCCTCAGAGCCATCCCTCTTCCCCCGCAAAAGGTGTGCTGAGGTTTGCCTCTGATTCTGATTTGGCTGCATAGTAAGGGTCATCTTCTAACAAGGCTGTGGCTTACCCATCAGAGAAAAGAAAGGTGGTAAATAGACAATGATTATGTCCCCATTGAAAGTCCCTCACCAGACCACAAAGGCAGGAACATAAATTGGTAAGCAGAGCACAGTCACAACTACCCACAGTTTCTCCATCACCATATAGTCTCTTCTTTCGACAATATACTGGTTTCCAATATTAACTCAGGGGTAAAAGTGCTGGGGCTGGGGAAAGAAATGAAGCCTTAATGCTGCTCTGAAAGTGTTTCTGATGATAGACACAAAGTTGAGGCACAGTGGGGAGAATCTTCCTTCTTGCCGGAGGAAGGTTGACTCATAATTTGTGGATTACATGCTGAGAATCAGAGTTACAGACCCACCACCTCAGAGTTGTGCTCTACTTTGGAAGGCAGACTCCACTTTAGGTAAAAGACCATATTTCCCTTTCCTGACAATGCTCCTTCCCCTGATATTATCAAGATGTAGAAATAAGTGGTAGAAGTCATTTTGGGACATTGGCCCTTTAAACACTTTCCTTAGACATCTGCACAAATTCATCATTTGAATTTGTGCTTTTAATGTTAAGGATGTTAGAAAGGAGAGGAGATGACTTACAATGCTTTCCTCATCCTCTAATGAGCAATGTTTGAGTGACTTGCTGTGGGGGCCAGTAGTTTCTCAGAAAACTCTCTGGCTAAAGATACTCAATGCCCAAAGGCAGATAGATTGTGCTGGTTTGGAATCTGGCTCTGTCACAGCCTTGAAGGGAGATATGCTAATGAGGCTGTGCTTTGCCAGTTACAAAAAAAGGAAGGGAAGGTGATAAATCAATTGGAGTTGAATCTGTACCCAAAGCACCTTCCCAGACAATAGCAATCTAATGAATGCCACATGGACGGATGAAAGGCTAGATGGAGAAATGGATGGATGGAGACAGGTGGATGGATGAATGCATTTTGGACCTATGTTTAGATACTCTTGAAGACACTGATGACCATTTGTACCCCACAGAACTGTTATTCTCAGAAAGTGCTAGAGATGCTGCCCACTTATGTGGTTGCTCTATGAGAAGGTAGAAAAATGTGCCCACTTTGGGCAGATGTCACCAGAAGTAAGCGTCCAGGTTGATAAGTAGTTGGATTTTAGCCTCGACTGCCCGCTTAACCCTAACAGGATAGTTGGGCCATTGATTTATAATAAGGAGCCTAGACCAGGTACCCCAACCTGGGAGAAAGAACACTGGTGAGGCTGTGCCCAAAGCTAGCCTAACTTTCTGATTCTAACTTTTACTGCTTACTCACATACCTTTTTTTTTTTTCCAGCTGGAAAATGCTTTCAATTTCTGAGTTATTTTTCATTAATTTCTACTGCCAATTCTCCACAAAGTTTTCTCATTGTTTGAAGTAATGAGAAACACATTTAAATAGTCAATAACTCTAAGTATATTTGCAAGGTTAAGCAGGCGCCCATCTGTAAGAGTTCTGAGTTCCATAGAGAAAAGCAATGTGAATGCAAAGAATTTGAATTTTGAGAAACAATAAGTTCTGAGAAGCCACACATGGGAAAAGTAAGAAAAGAAATTGTAAAAAAAAAAAGAGAGAGAGAAGAAGAAAAGAAATTACACATTAGGTAGTACTCTTTCCATTCCAATTTGTAAGCAGGGTTACTGGTTTAATAAGTAAACAGGAAATGTGGTTATAAGAAAGAAAATATAAGCCATTTTCTGTGCTTAGCCATTGGTCTATAAGCTTCACTGGAACCATCTTGTTTATTTCTCATGACCTTCCAATGGGAGAAATGGGGATTTTAGAGGATAAGTTTCATTTGGAGGAAAACTGAGGACAAGAGCAGAGCTGCGCATGGTAAAACCCAAAGGATAACCCAGGACTGCACACTGCTACAAAGCAACTGAGTTAGGCCTACAACCAGGTGGGCTGAATCGCAGCCTGTACTTTAAATCAGGAGTCAGTCTTATGCAGTGTAATGAGCCAAATCTGTCCCACTGTCTGTTATTATAAATAAAGTTTTATTGGAACATAGCCATCCTCATTTGTTTACATACCGCCTGTGGTTGCTTTTGTGCTATAGTGGCAGAGCTGAACGCTTGGAACACAGACTGCATATCCTCCTAAGCTGGAAATAATTTACTATCTGCCTTTCAAAGAACAAGTTTGCAGACTCTGCTCTAACCTAGAAGGACAGGAACAGGAAGCAGCCCTTTTCCTTTCTGCCTCTTACTCTGTCTGAACCTGTCTGAGGATAGGTGTGACTCACTCAAGCCAGGTTCTTATGGAATCCCTGAAAAGAGAAAGCATCTCCTACAGCTATGTTCACCAAATGTCATCCGGACCTGGAGGAGCCAGCTTCTCAGGTTGTGAAAGACACCAAGGGTGAGTCCTCTCTCTCTCTGTAGAAAAGGTTCTTTGCGTATAAAAACTGTTTTAGGCCTTGCCTGTCTATGGAGTCCTTTCTGTACCTGTTGAAAATGAAGTGCTGAGGAAGGGACACTTCAGATAAAAAGGCTGATTTAACTTGTGAGATTAAACAAACAACAGAAAAAGGTTAACTTCCTCTGGAAAAGTTTATAGAAGATAGTAGAAGAATGTGGTCATGTTCCCGATTTGTTTGGAAAAAGGATGTTAAAAAGTACAAAGCATCCCTGAGAAATGACTCTTGCAATTTGTCTTATGAGCAGTGTATAAAGGGAAGGTCGTTGGAGGTTTCCATGAGCTGCAGAAACTGTGCAGAGCATCTGCCTGTCCTTGCCCTGTTCCATAAAAATGCCTCTAAATCCAGATCCCTTGTTGGCTAAAGTCTTGGGACTTTCCCATCTTTTTGGTGGCACTTATACTACACCTCTTCAAACCAAAGCTTGTCCTCTATGTTCTTAGAGAAAGATGAAGTTGGTGAAAAACACTTTCTTCTGCCCTTAGACAAACTGACCGTGGCAGCTGTTTAGATGAATGGCAGATAAACTTGTGAGGAGAGGATGGATGTGTCTGGCCTCTGTGACAAGAGAGGCTGCATGTACAAGTGAACTTTACAGACGGTGCCTCAGTGTCCCCTGGGCAGGGATGGCAGCCAAATAGTTATGCAGCTCACACATCTATCCCCATCCTTCCCTGCTCAGCAACACCTCGCCTTGCACTGGCAGCTGGAGGTGGGGGTGGGAGCTAAGAGTAGGATTCTGACACCACAGCTGCCTATCTGGAGCTCTGGCAGGGGTTAGGAGCACTTCTCTGCCTTTCATCAGAGGATTACGTGCAAGAACACCATTTAACCCTTGCTGCATCTCAGAAGTGCTTCTAGTAGACAGCGCTGGGGAAAAAGGGAAGCCAAGGAGAAAGGCAAGCTGAGGTCAGGCCCAGGTCTTGTGCCTGGGAATAGGGGCTGCTGCACTGGAGGGCAAAGCCTCTGGGAGGCAGGCAGCTGGGGGGGAGGTGAGGGTGGGGATGGAAAAGAGATGGGAGTATAAAATGGCAGATTGTCTAGTAGGCACCAAATAAACAGAACTCAAAGCTTGAGGCATAGCTAGACACCAGCTAGCTCTTGGCATTATCTCTGAAGGGGTCTCTCTTAAGACTGCTCCCCTCTGTGCCCATGAGACAGCCTTTGATGCTCATTTTCTCCTGGTTGTATGCGGACGAAAATTGCGAAGGACAGAAGAAAGGCTTCTAGTGGAACCCAAACGATGGGGCTCAGAGATAGTCTGAGACACAAACCCATATTCACGGTCAGCAACAGGAGATACGGATGTTCCTTTTAGTGTCCAGTAGTATAAGACAGCAGTTTGGAGTCCTCCACTCCGAGGACCCCCATCCACAAGCCCTGTGGGTCTCTCATAGGTAGCGCATCAGACCCAGTTTTTGCAACTGCTGCATTCAAAGTCCACAGCCTCCAACATAAACAAAGCTCTCATCTCCACCGTGAGTCGCTAAAGATAACCACCTGGTCAACAGCTACATAATACTCCGATTATGGGCTTTATATCCTTTTTCTGGCTTCTTTATTATTCTTTTTTCTTTTATTGAAAAAAAGAACATATCAGGTAAGAGGAAATAATCCATCACCTTAATTACACCACTTTTCAGTCCCTTTCCCTTTATATACAGTTTTTCATTTGTTAAAGCTCAAATCCTAGAAAAAGATACACAACACCACCATGTTTATAGCCACTGCTTATAAAAAAAAAAAAATGAAAAATGCACACCCAGGCTACATTGTTTAAAATGTGACTCATAACAACAACAAAATGATCTTTTTAAGAATCTTGTGACAATACAGTTTATTCATCCTCTCCTCCTTTTCGTGCACATTTCTCTTTTTCTCCATGGCTTCTCTTCAGCACTAACTCATACACCAGTAGACAATCTTAGCATGTATGCAGAGAACACAAAGTAATTAGAATAAAAAAGACAGTGTTGCATGGCAAGAAATCAGTAAGAAGTAGAAAAAGAAAGATACTTCAAAATATGAACGATCAAGAATACCTAATAAACCCAGGCCCAAAGGCTACTTTTATTGCATTTCCCTAAAGATTTACCAAGCACACATTGAGCTCTCTTAATGAATGAGATTATTTCTGTCTCCCACGGCTAATTTACAATGGAAAGAAAAACAATGAGAATTCAAAAACCAAACTAGCAATGTAAATATCTACTGTCAATGGTGTTTTAGCATCCACTTTCCATATTTTGCCTGCCCAAACCTGATTTCTCTTTTCTTGAGAGAAAAGATTGATCTTACGCTCTGACCTAGAAAGGGCTCCTCCTGTCCTGCCCAGGGGAGGAGCAGAATGTGAGTCACTAGGTTAGAGGGAACACAGGGTCCTCGTTCTTCTCCCAAATGGAAAAGTGTGCTTGAGTAAACAAAGAAGCATGCTGAGGTCAACAGCCCTCAGTTCCCTCAAAAAGACCCCTTGGCCCTAGGTTCATCTGGTTTTCAACCCTCAGCTCTATATAAAATGAGTTCAATTTTGATTCTGCTCTTGACTCTCTGCTCCCCAAAACTTGGTTTCCTCCGTCCAAAGATGCTTGCCATCAGCTATGGGACTTGCACCATGCAACTTTACCCTGTTCTGCACAACCCTCAAAACAGCTTATTGGGAGGGCACTAGAAATTCTTACCTTCAAGCCACTAAGCCCTGGGTTTATTTTGACTAAATGCACACTGCCCCTCAGATGAGAGTTTATTTATATATTTTTCGCACATAAGCATGACTGCACTGTGCAGCCCCATGGAATACAGGCTTCAAGGAAAGCACATGCAGCTGGTTTGTTTATTCTCTTACGGAAGCAAAGCCCTCAGCCATCACACTTGTCAGTCATGACCTGACATGGTGAGTGCACACAACAGCATCTGTGGTGGTGACAGGCACCTATTGAACCAGCCTTGCTGGGAGCTTGGAGTCTCAACAACCCAGAGAATCAGGTAAAACAACATAAGCAGGTTTCAATTCCCCAGCATAAGCATTACCTTGGGTCCTGAAGGTTATAGTTGAATTCAACTATAATCCAAGTTGTTCAGTTTGGATTTCAGCTTTCTTTCCAATATCTCAGATTTGTGTTCACATAACTCTCACACTCAGAAAACACCAATAGATGTACATGAATACTTTTAATACTTTAAAATGTGGAATGGGGAGTGGCATGGAGTTGGGAGAGGTGAGGAAGGATAAGAAACAAGTAAAATATATTCTACATAGATGTCATTGCTTCTATTCAGTCACTCTTTACCTCATCCATTGTCTTAGAGCTGTGGGTGAGGAGTGGTAACTTAGGTGACATGATTTGGAATCAGGGAGCATGTCTAGGTGGCAAACCAGGAATTCATCTTCTTCTAGCTAGAAGATGGACAGATTAATGAGAGTGAAGGTAAGGAGTCCAGACATGGAATAGAAAATGGCGGCTCTTATCTCTGAAATGCTGTCACCTATAGGGTTAAGCCCAGCCAGCACAAATAAGGTATGGCAGCCCTCAAGTTTCTGGCACCAAATAGATCCTGAAAGCTCCCTGCTATTGGGTGAAGGTCTAGTGAGCTTGTGCACTCAGGCCAACTGAAAGAAGCATTTAGAGGGGCTCTTAAGTATTTACAGAAATCTGGGTGGAAACTTCACTAGCGTCAACCAGCTGGATACAAAGAGGACAAAACATGAAAGCCACTCACTGCTTTGGAAATGTACAAACGTAACCATCACGTGGCTAGAGGCTCCTTTCCCATGACATCAGCCTCCCAAATTCTTCTTTCTATGCTCAGCTCTCTATTTTCTATCCTAAGGAGAAAATGTCCTACTCTGTTTTTCAATCCTGAATTAAAGTGCTCCTAACTCCAGTCACCAAATCACCAAATGCACCTCTTTATTCCTTTCACCAAATGCCAGCTTCTGAATTCAGCAGCTCTTCTTTCTACGACTATTGCACCTTGTGTCTTTTCCTAACATTCTTCCTTCACAATGCCGCACTTCACTGAGGGTTAATTGGGACCGCTGCCTTGGTCCCCTGGAGCTGGGAAGAAACCATCTTCAGCAACATAAATCATTGCTACCTCATTTCACTTTTCATTTACTACAGATTTTTTTTTTTTTGGTTCAGTCTTCCCACAGTCTCTCCTTTCTCACCACTCCTGAATTTTCAGCCTCATTGCTCCCCATTGGCCAATGCAAGGCTGAAGGGTTTATCTGTAACCTATTTGTCTCTATTATAGGTTTCTAAACTTTAATTAAACAACAGACAGTGAGGATCTCAATTGGTGTAGCTACAGGTGTTGTTGGTGCCATCTAGTGGTGGGAAGGTGAGGCACCTATTTTCTTGTGAGCTTTGTCACATTTAGGTTTATTGCCCACCAGATTCACATCACATGGGAGAAAGAAAAGGCATGCAAAAAACTTTATTTTTACCTTTAAAATTCTCACCTGCAAAAGCTGAAATGGGTTCTGGAAAAAAAAAAACAGAAAAAAAATGAGTTAGATAAAGGAAAGAAAGAACTTCCGTGGCGTTGGCTGGTAGCACTCTATGGACAATGTCTGTATCTGCCACATGTCCCGGACTGTGTTAATGTACTGTCATCATGAGGCTAGGGTTGGGAGAAGAGTTCTCAAAGTTGAGTTGGAACAAAAAGTCCTTCATAGAGTAATGGGTCCCCAAAGCATTGTGATCAGTCATTCACCCCTGATAACTTTCTCAGAGTGGGCTTTACTTTTAGATGCCAGGGCCTGAGAGTTGCCCGGGGGACTGGCATGTCCCAGTTGCTTCTGGGACACATACCAGGAACTGTGGGCTAAGAAAAGTGCTTGGTGACTTATTACAGCCACTCTGCCAACTGAAAACAGGTCCTGTTCCCTCTCAGGATTTTTATCTTGCTTTTGGGAACATGGGTGGGAGATGGCCAGGGCACCCTTGGGAAGACCCTTATGGCAGCCTGAGGCCCTGAGTAAAATGGGTGCATCTCAGTAGAGCTGGCTGCTCAGCACTTCTGACCATGGTGACAGTTATAGTTGTCCTTTCCATTCTGGTCACTTGGTATACGCAATGTTTAATCCTACAATCTAGGGTCTTGGACATTATAGGTATTAGTTTTAAAGCAAGATGTAACATCTTACTTCATATGCCATAATGTGCCCTGCCTGCCATTCATTCATGTAAAGAACTGCTTGGGTAATTGTGCTATCTCTCTTACGTAGCATGTGTACTGTTTTTGCTCACTGCTGAAGGCTTCCATTAAATCCTCAAACCTTTCCAGCATGTAATTCTGACTGGCAGATGCTCTTGCCCTCTGGCATTTTCTTCGCTAAAAACTGGAGTTTGATGATGGGGTCTTGGCCCCTTGAATCTTCATAAAATTAGTGTATGCCTATTTCTGATTGGGAACATGGATATAAGCATTCACCTCACCTCAACAAAAGCCGAAGGTACAAGTACACGCATACTTCAGCTCCTATGCAGACCAGTGCTTTCCTACCCACTGGGAACACTGTTTGGAGAGAGCCTGTTGCTTCCTTTGTGTGTCCTAGCCCCTGGTGTCTTATTTGAAAGAGCTTGAAGAGACACATAGTCACATACCCATGCAGTTCTCCAGTGGGACATCAGTGCTTATCCGAATGTCATCGATGGCGATCTCTCCAGAATGTCCTTTCCCTATCACTCCTTCAAACACAATCTAAAAGCCAGAAGAACAAGAGTTATGGTTAACTGATCTTCCTGGTCCAAACAGCACAAAAATTTCCAATCTTCTGTTAAATGCAGCTTAACTCTGTGTGTGTGTGTGTATGTGGTATTGCACCTGTTACACATCTGTGGACCACATGGCTACAGCTCTTGAGATCTTAATTTAAAAAAAGTTGGTTCAAATCAAATGAATATTTGAGAGCCTAAGAAAATACAGCAAGGTGATAGATACTGTTGTCCAGTATCTAGAATGTATTGATCAAAAGAACCACAATCAAGGCATGTTTAAATTGGGGGAATGGAGGTGGGGCGTGGGGGAGCAAATTTCCCTAGTTAATGACATACCTTTCCCATAAATCTTTCAAATGCCCACCTCAGGTATTTGAAAACTCATAGGACCTGAGCAGGTGAGGATAATGTGAGAAATACTGCACACAGGTTTTGGATTGCTGTGCCAGTGACCTTTCCTTATGGCTCCTTATTGCACATTGCCTTAGGGCACCACTATTACAACTAGGAAGGAAATAATTTGGTCTTCCACTTATAGTATATGAGCACCTACTATGTTCTAGGCACAAGGAGAGTAACCAAACCTATTAAGTCAAGACCTCTGCTCAGAGTAACTAACCATCTAGTGAGTGAGACCAAAGTGCAAACAGGTTCTTATAAAACATGCATTAAGGTTAATAAGTGGGAACCCAGATGGGCCGGGAGGGTCTCGGGACACTTCATAACCTCAAGAGAGAGAGAGAGAGGCTGCAGGGTGTGCACAGAAGTCCCTCTGCTCTGTGGTCTTCAATCATTCCTCATTCTCACCCTCCCCAGGTTCTCTCTGCAAATGAGTACATGTCCTCTGGCACACTGAGCGAGCAGTTGGCTGCCTCACCAGCCATCTGTTGCTGCTCCTTGTCTGGGGAGGGGCAGGTTAATGCTTTGGCTGGTTCTCAGTCACCTCGTCCACAGTGTGTCTACTCCTACCCAAGACGCAGCTACAGCTGCGCCTGCCCATCTGTGCCTCAGTCTCTTGCTCTTTGGGACAGAGATAATAGAACTCAATTCCTGGAGCTGTTGAGAGACAAGCCACTTGCTTAGGACTCTCTCATTCTGCTGGCCACAGAGCACAAGCCGCATCTGTGCCCCTTCCTGGGTCCCTGCTCCCTGAGACAGGTCTAGGAGGGTATTCCGTTTTCCTCCTCCACTCTGAGGGACTCCACAGGTCCCTTCCCATGTGTGTGCAGGTTTTGTTTTTGTTTATTTCCTGGCTTCTGTGTCTCTTTGTCAGCCTACCTGATAGCAATCTAAAATAAAATGGAGAAGAAACATTTGTTGGAGAAGATTTCAGCAATATAAAAGGCAATAGGAGGAACAAAGAACCAAGTCTGGGTGTAGAGATAGGCACATTCTGAATAACAAATAAGAGTGTCATTTAGTTGCCATGGCAATGCGAGGAGCACAATGAAAACAGCAGAGCTTAACCACATCCCCTAATGATGAATGGGCACGGCCCTTTGAAGTATTTTTTGAAATATTAAAATACAGATCCTCACCCACTTCCCTTCACCACCCCACCTGATACTCCATGTCGTAGCTGGGCAGGACGATACGCCCATGCTTCCACTCTCCGCCCTGGTCCTCTCGGATGACCCACAGGAGCTTGCTCTCCTGGCTGGCTTCTCGCACCACCTGCAGTGCAACCCCGCGGCCGCCCGTGGCTTGGTACTGGAACTCCATGCACACTGGGCTCCGGGGCAGGTGCACGGGTGGGCTGATGAGCCGCCCATACTGGCCCTCTCGCCGGCCATCACTCTGCAGCCGCAAGAAGTTCTTATCATCTAGGGGAGACAAACCGAAACAGAGGTTCTTGGTAAATTCTTGGGAAAGACATCAGTGCATAGCTGTGGCCCCTCCAGCAGAAAGTTGGGACTGAAATTTGGATGTCTATTTATTCACATCCTTGTTCTCCATACTTGTGTCCCTGAAGGCTTCTTCTGAGCTCTGATTAAACGTTTGTGTCCTCTTAAAGTCCTTTCTTCAATTGCTAAGTCACATTGGTCCCTCATTCTATTGCTTGGTATCACCTGCTTTGTATCTCCTGCAAATCTAACAGCTGGTATTATCAGCTTTAAGCCCTGGCTGGTTATGTACAGGTTTCTCCTTTCTCCCTAGATTCGAAGAGGCCAGACCCATGTCTAATTCACCATTGGCTTACCCCAAGGGCCAATGAAGTCTAATGAGCTGAATTACAAGGGAATGGTTTGCAGGGGTGAGGTGGCTGCTGGATTGGAGGGTGACTCTGGCCAGGTGTTTTATGCTTTGAGCCTTTGTTGTCTTGGCTGGGCAGCGTCCAAATGGAAGACATTTAAAACTTTCTGTCTCTGCCAGAGCTGCTAGATGATGCCTGGGCTCCAGTGACTGCGACTTGGACACCGTGTCAACATCAAGCAGAACAGGGGGTGGTGGCTGAGTAGGATCTCATATTCCACTTCCTTCTTTATGCATCCAGGGAGGTCTGGGCATGGCCTTTCTTAGGCAGTCAGGGACACACAGCTCCAATGAGAAAGACATGGCCATTATCATTAACAAAGGTTCAATGTTTAGCAGAGAACATATGCGTTCTCGGAAATTAAAGGCTCACCAGTCCAAACGCCTCAAGAACGGCCTTTTAGCGAACTGATTTCAAATTCATCAAAAACTTAGGTGGAAGACCAAGTTCTCATTATGGTTGGCCGTGCTCATGCCTCCCAGACACAGATGCAGAGGCAATACCTGAGACTCCAGCTTGTGCAGCAGCTCTCTGGCCACTGGTGCAGACAGCAAGGTACATTTGAGGAGGAAATCTCACTGCCTGCTTTTGGCCCTCAAACGTGGGGGCATGTTTCACTAAACACTTAGCAAAAGGCAGGGACGTGTTTTCACTACATATCCAGCACAGTATGTGACCTTGTCAGATACCTTAGGGTCACGTTAACATGAGTCTGAGTTTTACGCACAGTGTTTTCTTACTCAACAGGATCTGTGAAGATCCTGGGCTTGTTGGGGAAGGACGGTGAGTACCCTGCAGCCCTGAGTCAATACCATTCTCCCTGGATCATTGGTTTGCCATTGTTCCTGCTGCTGTCATCTTTCTAAGTCTGTAACAGACCTCCCATCAGTGGCCCAGAAACAATTCCTCCTTCCTCAACTATCTAGCCACTTCACCCATTTCTCTGGCTCCCCTCACCCCCTTCCTATAGTCACACTCTCTGGGATTATTGCTTGAAGCTACCCTCTCCTGAAATCAAATTAGACCACTTTAGGATGAATATGGAGGATTCTAGTTTTTGCCTCCTCTACTGTCCAGAGCCATGTCTGTCTACACACTTCCCTTCCCAACATCTGACATCTTGGAGGCCCAAATCAGCCCAGATAATGAAGAGGTAGCTGTCTTCAGAAGAGAATTTTAATTATGGGAAGGTCTACTGTAGGAGGAGACACTGATACCCAAACCAGACACTTAATGATCTTCTAAACCTACGCTTCTCCTATCAGATCTTAGTGCTACCACTATTAATGATAATAATTACAACTTATATTTGCATAATGCTTTGCAGGTTACAAAGCACGTTGGTATGAACTATTTCATTCCATCCTTACTATATACTTATGAGCTAAAACTTAGTAATCTGGCTTTACACAGGAGGAAGAAACAAAGGCTCAGAAAGGTTAGTGTGACTTGTCCAAGGTAGAGGCTGCTTAAATGGTAGAGTTTAGACTTGACTGAGGGATTCTGCACCTATCTGTAGTAAACTTTACTTCACCAACTGCCTGCAGGTGCCTTGTCCCAAGTCCTTGCAATCAATCACACTCTGAGACAAACTGACTTCCCCACTGGGCCTATAATTTGTTGCTTCCCTACCCACATCTCCACCCATCCCATCTCGGGTCTACCAGCTCTTCTAAGCATTCTGGTACATGCAACATTAATCTCCCCTTTCGCTCAACAACTCTAGCATTTATTGACTGTACCACTGATTTTTATCTGCTTTTCAAAGGACTTGAGAACATTTTTAGCACTGACTTCCTACTGACAGTGTCATGTTCAATGTTTCATGTATGTCTTTCTCATCACCCCAGTTAGAGTCCGAGGTCCTGGTCTTGTGCTTCTGTCTCCTTTCCCTATACATGGCACTACTTAAGGAAATATTGTTCCAATGAACGAATGACAAAAACACAAATGAAGAGTGCCATGAGGCTACACATTGAGGAGGACAGAGAGAGTCAGCTGGCCTCTGCCAACCCCTCAGATTCATATAATGCCTTCGCAATCCCCTCTGTTCTCCTGAGTCAACAGGTCCTTTCAAAGAAAGGTGAGACAGTAGTAACAGCGTGGCTGTGGTGGCACTCACTTGATCAAGACACCAGTGAGAAGCCTCCAAATTGCTCCTACACTCCAGGTAACTTCCAAGCCCTATTGCTTCCACCTCATCTATAAAGGAAACCAGATTTCAGAAACTTATTATTCAGCCTTCTTTCTTCACAGTTTCACAAATAAGACCTACTTGCTGCCTGAAAATTGCTTGGCAGAAATACTGTCACTTGTGTGAATTTGCATTCTTAAGCAGCAGGGGGATCACAGCACAATGGTTAGAAATGGGGAAGTAAAATTTTTTGGGGGGAGGGGTCAGTGAGGAAGTAGGCCGACTGGATTTTAACTGGGTGCTTTCTATGTCACTAGAACATCAGGCGCCACCAGGCCAAAGGTTTTATAGCTGGTTGTCCTCTCCCGGGGATTCTTAGTAGCCCCCTTCCCTCTCTTCTTATTTCTTCTCTTCTCCTGCTCTCTCACAGTAGGGCGATAATCACTATGCATGATTTAAAGGACCACGGCAAGACAAGGGAGTTAATGCTAGTGGCGTGCTAAGCACGAGCAGCTGAAGGATCATAATTCAGTGCTGACATCTGAGCTAATCCACTAGTTTGCAGAATCTCCAGACAAGCTGGCCTCTGGATTTCACTTAGTTAAATCATTTGTGCCCCACTTGTCTGTTAAGTGCTATGAGCTCCAGGGAAGAAAGATGGTATGTAAATTTAAGGAATTAGCAGTCGACATCAGTCAGAGGGATGCTGAGCTGCAAAATGTCCCTGCCTGTCACTGAGAGAGGCCTGATTAGAACAAGGGACATCATGAAGGAATGACTCAGACCAGGAAAAGTACAAGGAAAGGGGATAAAATGGCAGAGCGAAGAGAATGCAAAAACCTAGCATCCACTGTATGATCCAGGACTGATGTTGCACTGGAGGCTTCACCTGCCTTATCTTTTGTAATCTTCCTTGAGCAATCAGTATTATTTTCTCCATTTTTATGACAAAGGAAACTGAGGCTCTCAGAATTGTGTCAAGATCAGTGCTAGAGAGTGATGGAAGTAGGATTTGAACCCTGATGAGTCTGTGTAAACTTGCCAGGGCATGGTGTCTCACCTGGGACAGAACCCTAGCTTAAAGCTCACTAACCTTTTAAAGCTGCAGTCTATCCATCTGTAAAATGGATATAGTATCAGTGTTACTGCATACAGTTATGAGGAGGAATAAATGGAACCAGCCATGTACAATGCTTTGCATAGTAACAGGGACACAGAGAAGGCTCCACAAAAGTTATTACTATCACTCTGCACATGGCCTCCTATGCTTGCTTTGATTTTATTTGGAAAGAAAGGGGGCAGAAAGACCAATAATAACCTGAGAACTCCATTCCAAGACTCAAAAAGAGATATGGTTTGGCCTGAGAATGGTAATGATGGTCTCTAGAAAAATGTTCTTCATATCTGCCCTAACCCCAGAAACCAGCCAGCCCCACACTGTCCGTCATGCACTGCTCACCATGTGTGTTTTTTGCCAATCTACAGAAGATGAAATAAAATATGACACAGTCCTTGATCAACAGTGGGGTCTCAGTTGGTCACTTGGAGCAGGTCGGCCCTGACTCCAGGGAAAACATACTGATACATCCCCAAGAACACTGTCCATCCTTCACTCTAAGTTCTCCAGCAGGAGCTTCCACAAGCCATGTCAGCAATGTGTTGTCCAGGTCACAACCCTAACTGTCAGGAACTTCTTCAATTCAAGTTTAAGCCTTCCTGCTGTCGCTTAGACACATTTCCTCCTTCTCTCCCTGATGGATCGCAGCCAGTTTCTGTCCTTGAATTTGGAAACATTTCACTCTAGTCTGTGCTTTCCCAGGAAACAGAACCATTGTCTCTTTTAAATGTCCTCTTTCCAGGGCTTTGTCTATAGGAGTGGGTCTCTACTGACCTCTCTTCCAAGCTCTTTTAAGTCATGGCATTCATACATAGATATTGAACTGAACACCTGCTGCAAGAGAAGATTGTCTAGAATATCCCAATTTCTGACCCCAAACCAACAGATACTCAGGAAACTCTAAGCATGCAATTCCTTTTGGTTATCTGACAGAGAAAAGGATTGGCATGTTATGGGGGAGGTGCTACTTTATTGATAGACCTTAAGAAAAGCCCTTTGAACTTTTTTTTGTGGTACTGGGGTTTGAACTCAGGGCCTCATGCTTGCTAAGCAGGTGCTCTACCACTTGAACCATTCCACCAGCAGGAAAAGTCCTTTGAATTGTTAAAGAGTTTGCCTTAATATGACAATTGACCAGCTAAGAACTAGCCCTGCCAGCTGGAAGCCGCCTTCTTGTTCTTATAGCTGATGGCTCTGATGCTGGCAATGGATGGATTCCAACACAAAAGACAATGGAAAGGAAATATGTTCATTTGCTGAAATAGAATGAAGAAATAATGTCTCTGAGATACAATCCCTCTCCTCCCGGACCCGATGTATTTGGGAGGCATTTTGCCGGGTCCTTGACTCAAAATATCTGTTGTTGCCAATGACACAGGGAAAACAATCACATGGAAAGGAACAATAGCTGTTCGAGAGGGCGGAGAGGAAGTGCAGTCAACAGGGTCGTTCAGGCATTTCAACCTGCTGCTGTCTGTGGAAAGGGTCTCTTGATATTTCACCTGGCAATTTATGACCCCATCTGGCTTCAGCTGCTTAAGTGTCCTATGAGCACGTGACTGTGGTTGGCTCAACAGCAATGGATTCAATTGTGTCTACACCTTATCAAACCCTGAAATAAATCACCTGCGTGATCCTCCTGGCCATCGTACAGCCAAACACACCATCCGTCCAACACACACATCTCCTGGCTAACATCTTGCCCTCCTACTAGAACAACCGTCCGAAAGGATATTTAGTGCGGCAGGAGGTGCAGTCTCTTAGTATAGGTCATACTTAAAACATGAGTCAGCCCCTCAGCTGGCCTCCCAAGGTCAATCTATCTCTGCTAAGGTCCTCAAATTAACAACCAGTTAAGGGAAACATTGACTTTGGATAAACTCAGCAGGATGTTTTCAAGGTTTACAATAGAACATTCTGTGGATATGTGAGGCTTCAAGCCTGGTCTTTGCACGAGTCTACATAGAGCTGTTTTCTGGAATGTCACCTTTTCATGAAAATTCCATTACTGAGATAGCCTTTTAGCATTTTGTCCCTTTGCTGTCCATACACCTATGGCTGGGGAACTCAGCCAATTATGACTTTCAGAAAAAGGGATAAAAACTTCTCCCTACTCTTGTCTTCTCTACAAAACCAGAGATGTTTTCATCCCTTCCTGGAAGAAGGACCACTATTCTTCTCTAGTTATTCCTTGAATATTGGCTTTCTTCTAGCCAAGCTGGTCCTGGTCTTCGATTATCTATCACAGTTCAAGCCTGAGAACTTTCTAGCCTTGTATTTGCAGTGGTTGTGCCCTAGCCAAACCACAGCAACCTCTTTCTGAAGGCAGTTCAATCTAACGCCAATCCAAGTGTCTGCATTGTTTGCTGATTTTGGCCCCATCTGATCTTTTGAGCTCAAGGAGTTGCTTTTTAATTCAGTCACTGCTAACTCACTGTCAAAAATGAAGCCCATCATAAGTAAGCTCATTCATCAATTATTTCCTTTGATTTCTCTGAAACCGTCCACTAACCTACCCATCTATACTTCACTTAATCTCTTGCTATGCACAGCCACAGTGAATCACAGCTCAGGTCTTCCACTCTAATGCAGTTTAGCCATGGCTCAATCTGCATCAAACTAGGGTCAGTGAGGAGTTCACATGTCTACGACTTACATTTGAAGGAAGAGCCACCATTTGTAAAATCTAAAAGGAAAGATTGTTGACTTATTCCACTTGTGCTTATTTTTGAACCCAGAGTCAAAGTTCTCTTAATCCCTTCTGTAAGCTGGACAATGTTCTGTCCTTTTGTAACAGTATACTAGTCCAAGCAGGCTTTGCTCTTTTCTTTATATCACTTTCATGATTTGAAGTTATTGATATGTGTTACACTGATTTGTACTTCCCAAGGTCAACCACTGTATAAAAGAACACACATTTAGAAACACTACACACTTGACTTGAAGCTGACCTGGCACGGTACTATTTCTCTCTGGTCTTATCTCATTCTTGACGATAATGATAATAATAATGACTTATTTTATTGGTTTTACTCAGTGTTTTCTTAGGATGTGCTTTTTGACTGACCAAAAATAGATCCTACACAATAAGGCTATGTTGCTTGCTTACTTTCCTTGGTGAGGTAGAATGCCACAAAAAATGAAAATACCAGCCACTGAACACTCCCAGCGGGGGTTCATGGAGAAAACACATCACTCTAATCAATAGCTTCTTGGTTTATACCAAACTAAGGAACAGAAGAATCAGCAAGGGTCCTAAGGTTGCTCTCATGTCAATGTCCAAAGGTGCTACAAGCACTGGTGTCCAGTAGAGCTCTGATGGCAGACATCTACATTAACCCTAACCAATACAGTGTGGCTACTATATCCATGAAATGTGGTCGGTGCAACAGCAGAACTGACAGCATTTGTTCTATTCATTTTAATTAATTAAAATTTAAATAGCTGCATGTGGTTAGTGCTCTGGTATTAAACACTGCAGCTCTAGATACTTGGGTCCACCCTATCATCTCAAGGAGTTTTTGCCTTGTTCTTTAAAGAATTCTGATCATCCTCAAAACTCTGCTTATGATCAAAGCACCTGTGCATGCAGGTAGAAAATATGCTAGCTCTACTATGGGCGACACTTTCTTTGTCATTGTAGCTACAGAGAAAAGGCAAAGAAAGCACTTCTCAGAGAACAGGGGCAGGCTCCTCCACTACCACCAGGGGTCACTGAATTTGGAAAACTGTCCCTAGGGGTTGCTATGAACACACACCAGGCAGCTCAGCCACAAGCAAAGAGCTAAAAAAAGCAATTCTGAATGGTTTGAAAGACTATCTAGAAAAACAAAAACAGTGGAATGAAACCAGTGGGTGTCTTGTCAGCCTCAAGCAATCATTACCACTAGCCAAAAGAACAGAACTAATTGCTGACTTAAAAGGGGAAGGAAAAGAGGTGGGGGGAGAGAAAGAAAGACAGAAAACATGAGAAAACAGCTAAATCAGAAAATATCTAAGGAATGTAAGCTGTTTCCACAGATACTTCTGATCAAATGGCCTGTGTGTGAGATTTCAACATGGCTATTTCCTTCCTTCTTTCTACCCTTCTTTCCATCCCCACTCCCTCTCCCTTGATAAAGACACCTCCTTTCTGAAATTTAATTACTTTTGTTTACCTGTATAATAAGGGGATAAAACACATGACATGCTTCTCTTTGAGAGAAGAATGGTCTCTCCTTTGTGGCATAGCTAAGTATGGGTGACATAGTGGCTTTCAGGTTTGACTCCATGGCGCCAGTCACTGTGAACCCATTAGCATTTGCCCTGCCCCTAACCAAGCACAGCTGTTTCCTTTCTCCCAACTGCTCCCCTCAGGGCCCCATTTTTTTTTTTTTAAAGGAGAAAGGACCACCCTGAACAAAAAGGGCGTTTTGCTTACAGCCTGATTTCAAGTTTTGAAAGCAGAAGGAAAATGGGAAATAGAGAAAATGGGTTTTAAATCATCAGAGGATAGCGGGAAGGGCTCTGAGAACAGTATTATGATTTTGTTTCCCAGAGGCAGGTTACAAGTACCACTTTTCCAAACTTCAGGGATTCCTCTGGAAGAAGAAAATAATTGTTTTTCTTCTCAATATCTTAAGGGAGGAACAACATTAGATTTAGCAGTTCCTTATGGCCCTAATTTTCTCTCTGTCCCCATCCATTCAGCCGAAGATTGGAATTCTGCCGGCTTTGTGAGCTAACTATGAAAACCCTCCCAAACCGCAGGGTGTAATGAATCAAGTGGAATGAGGACAAAGACTAGAATTCCCAACCAGTAGCAAGGGTCAACAGCCTGGGCATTCAGGTGAGGGCCAGGACAGGACCAGGAGGGGTTGGAGGTGAAAAGCAACAGTGGTACAGGCAGGGGTCAAAGGGAGGTGACTTATGCTCTTCTTTTTAAGTCAGCACTTACTGGTGGCCTTGCAGCCTGGGCAGGGTTGGCCTCAGATGCTCTCAGAGAAAATCTGCTTAGAAGAGCATAAGAAAGGAGGCCAGAATTATTAGGAAGAACCTGAAGATGGACACTGAGTGAGAGCCAGTAAATCTCCGCACTCTGTGGAGAGCCCATGTGTACAGCCCTAAGTTCAGAGAGACTGGGCCAAGCTGTGCCTTATCCATACACCTTGCAGACAACACACAGACACACCCACGCAGAGACCACAGATGCACTCACAGACACTGTGCACACAGCACATTACATACCCACTAACCTTCCTTACATTCGGATGAAAGATGGGGGTTGGTGAAAACCACCAATTAATTGGACTCAGTCTCAAAGGAGAGGAAATGAAATGAAAAATCCAGGCTGGGTTATAAAAATAAGTATTTTTTTCCAACATGCAAGAGGCTCATTATATTAATTAAACATTATTGCAGTGAGCGAGAGGGGGAGGGTGATTAAGGTGGAATAGGGTAAGTGTTCTCTGCCATGCCTGAGGCTGTGTCGATCCTCAGATACTAATCTCTTTGAGCGGGCACTCAAATGTTGAAGAGATAAACACTTGAAATATGAAAATGTTTTTCTTCAGAGCAGATGCCGTGACCCTCCAGGAAAGCAAGTGCCCGCTGTGGCAGGAGGCCAGCCCCAAATGCTCTTCCAGTATCTGTCCTACTGCAGTCCCCTGGGGACAGGACACACCAGCAGTCTTTGGGGTGCGGGGCAGGAGAGCAGCTTTGAGGAAGCCAATAGCAGGGGACCACCCCTTTATTTCCTAGTCATTTCCAATTGTATGCTAGCAACATTTAGTCTACTAAATTTCCCAGAGTTAACCCCTTTTCCCTTTAAATGCTATGGAGGTGTAGGAAAGTTGAGAGCTAATGAGTGGTGTGTTGGACCAATGCTTACTAGCTTAGAAGTTTGATGCCCTCAGAAGTTTGAATCAGAATCAGAGCCAGTGGTTAGGAACCATGCCCTGTTCGAAGTTGGTAAGAGGCTCTGTGATGGTGGGCAGCCAGGTTTGGCTATGGGAGCATGGGGACACTGTAGAACTCCTAGTACCTCAAATTGCTCCTTCCTTCCTTCTCCTCTTTCTTCTATCTTGGCTCCTCCCTCCCTCCTAGCTTCCAGACTGTGCTGTAATCACAAGAAAAGGCTAGGAACCACCAACTGGCTAGTATGGCGATGATGTCTTGAGCAGAGACTGTGGTGGTTTGTGGGACAAAAACAGAGAAGTGCTCTGTGGTGGGAAGTGATGAAGCAAGAGAATTGAGGCTGAAAACCACAGAGCAGGCAGGCCCTTCATTGCGCATAATACCCCTCAGCTGGCTTACCTGGAAAGGTCCGGTCGTTGGGGCTGGTGCTGCTGGTCCAGGCACTCCTGAGCCACTTGGCATGGTCATATATCCAACCACAGGACTCCTCAGGAAAATCAAAGTTGCAGTTGAATCCCGAAGGGAGCTGCAAATCTTTGTCTAAAAGGGGGAGAAAAATAACCAAAGAAAGGCAAATCAATGAGTCCAGAGAACAGCCACAGTGGTGCTATTTAAATGGCTGGCAAGGCCTAAGTGGACAGCACAGAAGAAAGTGGCCCCCTTTGCTTGTTCATTGAACTCATCTTGGCGATTGCTGGCTTTCGGGTCAGGCTTTGGTCTCATCCTTCCCAGGCATGGAAGCCAAGTCTGCCGATGTTTCCCATAGTAAGCAATTATAAATGAGGCCACCAAATGGCTTCAGGCTCTAATCAGCCTTTTCTGTCTACCTCAGAGAGCAGACAAATGTGAAAATTGCTATTCCCTAAATGCCAGAAAAGAATGTCTCCCCAGTGCCTCGGTGGAAGGCTGGCTCCTAAAAAGGATCATCTCATCTCCTGCCAACCTGGCTCTCAGAAGTGATGGGGCAGCCCATTAGCATCCAGAGAGACTGAAATGCCTTGGGAGGCTCTGGCTAGTGAAAAGAAAGTGACCTCAACAACAAGGCCAGCTTGTTTGCTGCCCTTCACCTCTTTGGGACATATTTCTTATGTCAGAAGACCTGGATGGTTAAGCATCTTTAGGTGGGCAATTTGACATGTTAGGAGTAAAACGAAAGGGCCAGACCAGAAGGCTGCCAAACTGACTGCTGCCCAGGATGAAAAATATCTTACAGTGTGCTGAGTCCCTGAAGACCCGGATCCCCAGGGAAGTGAAGAATGCTTTCCCCACAGAAACCTAACAAGTGACCACACAATGGTTTCTCTCATCTGCTTTGGAGGTTTACTTGCCTGATTTCAAAGACTGAACCTCTTGGGTTTCTTCTGGGTTCCACCCAGGTTCAAAAATCCAGTATGAGCCAGTGCCAAATATGTGATTGAGTGTGTGTGGGGTGGGGGGGGGAAGGGGAGCGCAGTGTGTGGAGGTGGGGAAAGAGAGGAAATAGGAACCCAAATTTGGATGCTTGCTGGTCCTGACTGCAGAGACAGCGGAAAAGTGCTGGCTAATGCTGGCAGCAGGGAGGAAGTGGGGCCTTTGGCCTTCTCACTTCCTTTCCAGGTTCCCAGAGAGGAATTTCCGTAGGGAAGGTTCAGAATGCAGGTTAGGGAAGTCTCAGGGGACCAGCAGACTGGTAGGAACAAATTGCTTACCATTTGGGGGAGGAGGCTCATGTCTAGGAGGACCAGGCACTGCTGACCTCGGCAGCAGGGGGCACATTGCCAGCAGAACCTGTTTGTGCCTCTCCTTCCCAAGAGACAATATTTAATGTTTGCCCACCCTTGGCCAAAGTCAGCGTGAGTGGAGAAGAAACACATGGAATCCATTACAGAAGCATCAACCTGTGGCTTGGAAAAGTCAGCCCTTAGCCCCTGCCATCCCCTTTTCCCAACAATTTCTGAATCTATTTTTCCGTTCAAAAATATAGAGTAACTCAATATACCATAATTCCTCTAATGTTTATATGCATACTGTATCTCAGGAACCAAAGTCCACAAAAAGATCTTTTACAAAAAAGGAGAAGGGAGGGACCATCAAAGAAACCTCAAATCAAACAAACCACTATAAACGGTAAAATTATATTAAAAATAAACTTCTGAAATTTTGCAGCAGAACCCTTAAATTTTTCCTTTCGATTACCATTTAGATTGAATCCATATTCCCGTGGTCCTCAGAAAGATAATTCTGTGAATCTAAGACCATATATTAACTCTCAATGCATTCCAGTTTTGGCTCTCAAACTGTCTTAAACATGTCTTGGAAGATTCTCTATATGTATTTCTCTTCATGAGACTAAAACAAGTTCATTAAAATGTCAGAATTCTGTATTCAACTAACTCTGACCAGTAGTATCCCCCACCCACACAGTACCCAGAAACACACTCCCCGAAGCATGTGAATTAAATCATCATTTTTCAGTTATACAACTTCAGCATTTCCTTTTTGGCTTTTCTCTCATTTTTCTTAGTAGTCATTTTTGGGAGTCAACCATTCTGTCTGTATAGTCCCTCATACTATCAAATGGCTGTATGTGCAGGGTGACAGGTCTCCCCAGCTCCCTGCATCTTTATGTCCCTTCTCAAGTCTCTTCACCAATCTTCCCTCATTTTGTTTAATGAACATTTAATAATGATTAGTAATTTACTGTAAACTGAGACTGTCAAACATAAAATTCCAGCCAAAACTGCCAGGTGTTCCAAAATTTGTGGTTTATCAGGAATGTCCTAATTGTTGGTGACCTAAACAGTATGATTTAAAATGACTTACTTTGGGACTCTGACAATTACTGTTTTTTATCTAACTTGGGTATGCTTAGAAGATAAAAGAAGAGGATTACAGATTTCCCATATGAAGAGATATCCAAAAATGAAGAGCCCTGGAGTTTTGAAGGGCTGGTTGAGGGTGCCCTCCTCACATTTCTGCCTTTGTCTCCGACCCGTGCTCAGTCATAGGGGATATGATACAGTATCTTGTAGAATCATCTCCATTACACAGTGGTAATGATTGACACTGGGCGATGACATTAGTCATTAACTGCTGAATTAACCTGGCTATGGGGTTCCATGGGTCAAATCACCTAAATGACACCAGATCTTCCCATGGCTACCTTGGAAACACAGCTTAGTAGGACAAACTGTTACCACTGTGAATTCTGGGCCTGCAGCAGCTTTTTTTTAACAGGACAGTGGTAGCGAGAGCTCGGTCATGAGACTTCTTTTTGGAGGCACCTTTAGCTCAGGTGGCCACTAGTGGACTGTGCTGTTTGCTACAATATCGGAATGCTTCTAGATTGGTTGCAAATAGCCACCGCCCCAAGCCCAACCCCTGATGTCGTCTCTGAAACGTCCAGGCCCTCTGATCCAGGCGACTCCAAGTTGGGGGCCACCCCTACTCTGGTTGGTCAACACTCATGTTATCCCGGATGCAATAGGAGCCCACCCCAGTCCTTACCATCCTCAAAGCTGCAGTTCTCTCCACATTCAGTGGCCTCCTCATCGATGGGATATGGGGTGGTGGTCTCTTCACTCTTTATTGTGGGTCCCAGAGTCTCTACTGTGGGCTTTGAGTCTATGTAAAGGTAAAAGAAAAGGAGAGAATGCTACAGCAGCCTGCACTGTGACCCAGCAAGGGGACAATGCCAAAAACTGTTTCCTCTCTAAGCATGGGCTTGTAGAAGACAAGCAAAGATACACATGTGCCCCAAACCCTGAAGTCACCTTTGTTTGCTATTAATGAAGCCAGAAGCATTGCCTGACTTGAATGAGAATCATCTAGAACTGCAGACACAGCTGTGTCACAAACCCACACTCTAGACTCCATGGTGAAGGCCCCAGACCAGCACGAGAGACCACTTGAGGCAATAATGGAGGAGGTCAATGCTGACCCCAAGGTAGGGCTGGACCACATATGGCTACTGCACACAAACAAAATGGACAATGTCCCCGAAAACCAGTTTGAAAAATCTCAGTGCATAATGAAGCGAGTTTCTGGAAAATGGATCAGTGAGCTGGCTGCCTCTTTACGCATCCCTGGTTTCATGCATGACTCACTTTCTCTTTGTGGCATTAACTCAGTCAGACAGGACTTTATGGAACCACAGTTAACCCTACAAAATGTTCTGACCTCTGGGGCCCACGTATAATAGAATAATCAGAAGCACTGTTCCTAAAGCCGTAAGTGAAACCCAGCAGCTTAGGAAGAGCCACCTCAGACATTGCATGTATGTTTGCTGGAAAACAGATAGAGGGGAACTCAGACTCCTGAGAGTAATTTGAGGCAGCTTTCAGGTCAGGGTGTGGCAAATTCAAATGCTCCTTGGATCCAAACAGTGGCTGTCACAATGAGAAAAGGAGACTGGGGCTGGGAAGAGAGCAAGGTATGGTGGAGATGATGCCTGGTTGAAAGGCGGCACCATGACTGGCTCAGAGAGGAGGTAGCCCAGTCTGGCCAGGTCTTCCAAAATGCCCTCCCTTACACAAGATGCCAGAAATCTCCAGGCTCATAAATGTTGCAACTTATTCGAAATGTTATAACAAGGACCATGCCATAAAACCTGGCTGGACCAAACCTGGCTGCAGGCGGTAGATTTTGACCTGGGCTCTAGGTGACTCACTCATCCATTCATTTGCTTATTTGTTCACGTCAGTCATTCATTCAGCAAGCATTTGGTGGATGAATGGAGCTATGAGTCAGGCCCTGGGTAGGGTGGGAAGGGCTCTGGATCCTGGTGCTCAGGCCTGTGTGTTGTGGGTGGTGTCTGCATCTCAGAGCTGCCTTCCCCCAAGATGCCCTGAAGAAGTCTGTGCATTGTCCTTCCCATTTCTATACTTGCTCCTTTGCGCTACTGTATGTGATTAGGAGCCTTTGTCAGGCACCCTTCAGGATACCATTTAATAAAGCCAGGAGCTGAAGGAAATTGCTAAACACCCTAAATTGCTGAATAGCTTTTTCACGGTCGACTTCCCACCTTTCTGCTATTAAATACTACGCACGTAACCTTTCATACTTCCCTTTACCGAGTCTGCCTCTTGCTCAAAGTAAACAGCAAATAACCTCAAAGCGTCCTAATTTGTAAGTTCAAATTTGTCACTGTGTCACAGAATCTCAAACTCAATTGTAAAGCAAACTATGGGCAGCAAGGCAAGACATAATCATTTGAAACACAAACAAACTATCAGGTGAAGTGGACCTGTCAAATTATTTAGCTGTAGCGTGCAACCCAGTCCTTTATTTTTTTCTGTTATCCCTCTGGGGGAAGAATGAAGAGAAGTGAACCAAGGGCGAGTTGCAGAAACAAATGGAAATTTTGAAGCAAAAAAAAAAAAAAAAAAGACATATGACTTAAGAAAAACCGTTTCTGGAAGTGTTAGGTAGCAAAATGGGTCAGCTGGTTGGTGGAGATAAAGTTAAATCCAGGGGTATTGGGCGCCAGCAAGGTGACAAGAAGGCAGGGCGTGTAAGTGAAAGTGAAGAAACAGCAGACAGCTTCTGTGTCCACTGTTTGTACTGGGTACTCCAAGGTAACTGCCCATCAAATAGTAGCGTTTCTCCGAAATTGAAACCAGATGTCAGACTTCAAAGGGAAGGAGGCTGGGCAGAGGGTAACACGCTTCGGACTCTGATCTTCTGAGGGCCTGGCAGGGCTTTGAAATGAGAAACCTGTTCCTAACCATCAGTAGTGCAGTTTGGGGGAGTTGGGGTGGAGGGACAATCAGGGGAAATAGTCATTAGCGACTGTCCAGTTGGTCATAGAGCAGGGCCAGACTGGGAGAGGCATGGCAGAGAAGGATAAAGGACTGAGGGAAGTATGAGTTGGCCCTTAGTTAGCTGAGTGACCTCCAGCAAGTGCCTTCTCTCTGGAGCTCAGTTTCTCTGTCTGCAAAGGGCAAGTTGGCTTAGCACTGTCATTTTTCTCAAACTGTGCATCACATTCGCCACTAGGTTTAGAATCAATTTAACGGGTCATGATTAGCATTTAAAAAATCTGAACTATAATAGTTCACAGTGCACTCTTGAGAAGGATGGACACTGCTTTGGGAACCTTTGGTTTCAGTTACATTTGCCTTTTGCTAGGTGTCAGGCAGCAATTTAAGTACTTGATATTCACCATTTTATGGCACCCACATAACAATTCTAGGGGGTATCACCATTGTCATTTGTTGAGAGATGAAGTCCCTCATCTGAGGTTATGCAGCTTGTCATGACTGAGGCAGGACTTGATTTGGCAACCTGTCTCTGGAATCTAAGCACTTAACCACACATTGTACATATGGACATATGTCAGTAAAGAGCATTGTTAGAAAGATTTATTTAAATTGGGGATCATGTGGGAAGCCACTGGCCTGGAAGCTCCTAGATCCCCTACTTTGGTAGCCTCCCCTGAGTTCAGGAGGCCGTGAATGAAGACAGCTTGTGTGGGAGGTGGAGTTTTCAGCACCTGTGAGACAGCAGGTGACACACATTCAGCAGGCTGCAGGGAACTCAGCCTCACCCTTGCATAAGGAGGGGGAGTCTTCCTGCTAGGATGTATTCATTGGGACTATTTTCAATTCAAAGGTGAGAGGCTTAACTTGGGCCCTGCTCCCGGCCTGCACACCTCCATGGGGCTCCTCTGTGCCCTTGTAGTTGGCACACAGGCAGCACTTTTCTCCCTGGGAGCCAAAAGCACTTCTTCGACATGCCCTTATTAATCCTTCATGCCACCCTGCTGGGTGAGCTGGTGACAGGTAAGGCACAGACAGGAAAATGGGGATACCTGGGGCCCTGGTGGGGAGGGGAAGGACAGCTCAGCCTGTTGGCTGCTCCTGCTGGCACTGGGTTGGCCCTGAGCCCTGCGTGGCTCCAGTAAACTCATCTTGGTAGACAGTGCCAGCTGTGAGGAGGGAGCAGGGCCGATGCCCAGAGGTAGGGTGGGGCCTGACTCAGAAGGGCAGGGCCCTCCCTTGCCAACAAGCAGGGATGGGTGAACTTGGGGCCTCACCCTCACAGAGAGAATTAGAGCATTGCCCCAGGCCTGTGCCACCTGGTGGGGGCAGGAATGAGCAAGACCCCGGCTACACACGGGAAAGAAGTCCTTCTGCCATCAGCTCCCCTGCAACAGGGTCCCTCCAGAGCAAGTAAATGTCTTTTACAGATGCAGCTTCAAAATGAAATGCAGGTTCTGGGCCACAGACATCTGGAGGCCAGATTCTGACATAAACCGATTACTTTATTATCATGAGGGGTTTTTTCTTCCCTAAATCAACAGCCCCAACCCTCTGGCCCGAAGAATCAGGGTCTAATTGAATTTGGGTGGGTGGTATGTGGTTATGATTTGTTTTTGAGACACTCAGGTTGAAGAACCAAAGTGACCTTTAAAACAGACAAAGTGCATCCCTTAAGAAACTGTCCCTAGTCAAGAGGTGGTCTGAGAACATGGTAGGGTAGGGGGTGGTAAGGTCTGCAGGGTTCCAGTTGACAGGGTTTCACCAGAGTTGGCTGCCCTCCCCACTCCCAGGGAATCAGGGGGTGCCAGGGTCGCGAGACCAAGTCAGTGAGACCAGGAAAGGAAAGCAGCCTTACCTGTCCAATCACAGCCCAGCACCTCCAGCCGCATCCCAATGCCCGCTGGTGACCACCTCTCTGGGTACACCCGCACGTACTGTGCTGGAACTGGGTCGAATCTTCGGATGTCAGGGGTGTCATAGTGCATGTTTCCTTCAAACAACTGTAAGGAGACAGGCTGATCAGCCCTTCTTGTGTGGGACCCCTGCCTCTGGCCTTCTCTCTCACCACATTCAACTGGATGGTTGGTTCGTGAGAGCTTGTTTTCAGACCAATGTCTTTTACTCATTTGGAAGGTCATTAGGGACCCAGAAATACAGAAAACAGGGAGTAGCAAAAGTGCCAATTGTCAGGTTATATCTTTTGTACGGGGCTGGACACTGATAACTCCAGAAAAAAATTGGCTGCAAATGTATTTTAAAACTGACCTGGGCTGGAGAGAAGTGAAAGTAATGTTGGCTATCTAAACCATTCTGAATTTCTTGGCTTACTGAAAAAAGGAATGCTTTTTTTTCTAATGCTTTAAAGTCCCTGAATGGGTTGGGGATGTAGCTTGGTTGGTAGAGCACTAGTCTGGTATGAGCAAGGCCCTGGGTTCAATCCCCAGGACTGCCAATTAAAAAAAAAAAATTCCTAGTTCGCCAAGAGCCTAAAGAGAAAATGAACACTCCCTTCTTTTGGATAATGACACTGTCCTTTGGTAAAAGCCTGAAGACCTGAGACTGTTTCCTAAACCTTTATGTGAAACAATTCCATCAAAAGAAGCTAGCTCCCTGTGCATAAAACTGATGACACTGGGCTGCTCTGATTGAAGTCAGGTGGGGACCCAACCTAGAGCCACCTTGGAGCTACTCCTCTAGGGGAAGGAGCCACTCCTCAGGGTGGCTAGGAACTGTGGCTGACTAGTCTCCAGGAATGCTGCGGGATCAGCCATTCTGCACTTCTGGGTCCAAAAGTGGAGAGCACTGTCTCAGGAAGGGCAGACTCAGACCCTGGCCAAGATAACCTCCTTCGCCAAGAAGAGCCAGGGTCAGCTCTCCCTGGGGAAGCCTGTGGTCTAACTTCTGCTCCATCCACTGAGCCTTTCCAAGCCTCTTGAATTGTGAGTGAAGAATTTACATCAGCATTGCAAAACCTCCAGCTCAGCCCTGGCCTCTGCGTTCAGAAGGGAAACACTTGCACCTTTGTCAGCAAAGGTGGCTGACTAGAGACAGACAATACCCCTTGCCACTTCTAGAGGCCTTGCTCTTCTGGGGATGATAGGGATCACTTAGAAATGAGGATCAGAGAGCCTGGGCCACCAGAAGATGATCTAAAGAGGGACAAAGGCATGATGCCCTCTCCCCTTCTCAGGACTCCTCCCACCCTAGGTTGAAGGCCTGCTTTCGCTTCTGTGAAACTTCTGGCCAGAGTAAGTTCCTTTTCTTTCTTTCCAGCCTCAGTAGGAGAGACAGGAAAGATCTAAGCAGTCAAGATTAAGAAAATACAAAGGAGTATAGAAACATCCAGAAAAACAGTTATTTTTGGAAGTAAACCTCTAGTTTCTATAGTTCGGCCTCCATCACCACATCCCCTTGGGATGTCTGGCCAATTTCAAGGACACTTTATCTGATAGAGGGCGTGAAGAGTGTTGAACTTCATAAACAGACAGTGTTGAATAGTGGTTAGGTGTCTGGGTTTTGGAATCAGACTTATGGTTTCTGCATCATGGCTCAACCACCAGTAAATTGTGTGACCCTGGGTATGATATCAAGCCTCAGTTTATCATCTTGAAAATGGGATGACAAACAGATCAACTTTTGCAGGGAGGGTATGGCACTCTCGAGAGTCTAAACAAGCTGTTAAACACCAGGCCTGGCACAAAGCAGTCTCCCAATGGATACTTGTTTCATTGGCTTGCTGGGATTTGATGATGGTGTTGGATGGGAAGCCCGTACCCCCAACTCCTTGCACCCTATTTGGGCAACATTGCAGAGTCCTCCAGAAATGGCCTACCTTTGGCTGCTGTGTCCTGGGGTCCTGGATGTATTCCCAGTCCTTGCCATTTAGGCTGTAGGAGACTTTGAATTTGCGTACAAATGCCCTGGCCTCCACTGCAGTGATGCTGTCTCCACCACGGGCTCCCTGGATGATGACGCCTTTCACTGTCTTGGGTGTTCCCAGGTCTACCTGAAGCCACTCCTCTCCTGGCTGGGCCTGAGGAATCCGAGGGAACCAGCCCGAGCGGCTGCTGACCAGGCGGGCAGCACTGGGGCTCCAGAGGTATTCACGGGTGGAGGAGGCAGAGATCTGGGAGTCAGTGATGAGGCCAGAGAGCATTCCCAGCATATTGGAACAGGGGGCATCTGTGAGAGTGAAGAGAATTCAAGAGGTCATGGGTGACATAAGGAGGGAGCTGCAAAAGGAGTCAACTATCAAATGCTTTAGGTCAGCACTGAGCTTTTGCATTTTGAGGTGATATAAGCACTGTGGCTTAGAGCTTGAACTTGGAGCCAGACTGCCTGGGCTCATGTTCACTTTGCCACTTAGTAGCTGGATAACCTTGGACAAATTATTTAATTGCCCCATCCCTCAGTTTCCCCAGGTCTAAAAGGCAGCTAACAGCAGCACCTACTTTGTGGGGTTCTCAGATGCTGTTAGTTCCTTTATAGTAACCCTTAGAATGGTGCCTGGCATGCTAATTATGCAATATCTTCTGGCTGAACTCTCAGAACGTGTGTCTGCACATCCTCTCCATGACACTAAGTCCCCACTGATCTTCTCAAGGATGGTGAGTGCAGGGGACTTCAGCTATGCGTTGAATTATTTCCTGGGTGATCATTTTCCCACTAGACTGGAACCTTCCTGGGGCCAGCATCAGGTCTTTACTTCCACATATGTGATCACGGCTTCCTTGGGTCATTCCCACATGCTGTTCCCACCATTCACAAGGCTGTTTTTCTCACCAGACTAACTTTTACTCACTCCAAAGTCTTAGAGTTATAGCCTCAAAAAGGCTGTCCCCCAACTTTCAAGCTCACAGAGCACCCTGTTCTTTCCCTCTGTACATACGTTAGCTTAGAATTATGGGTATCATGCTTGAAAGTTCCATGATGCCAGAGGTCTCATCTGTTCTGTTCACTTTTCTATCTCCAGCCCCAGGGTGGGGCCTCATATACTGGAGTGTGTGAGTGGGAAATGTGTGAAGCATGGTGTTGAGCAGAGCAGACTGTATAGCAAGTGTGCATTAAATGATTGCAAACTGAGTTGTAGATAAAAAAAGATCCTATAGCTTGTTCCCCTTCTTCAAATTCACTGGTTCTCTCCTTTCAGGCTTCTAGAAAATAACCTTAACTAAATCCTTGCTAATTAGCCTTTGTTAGCCTGGAACAGCAACATAGAAGGGACAGAGACAATCCCCTAGGCGGGATTAGGATGAACTGCTCCCATAAGAGGGGAGCCAGGTCTTTGTGTAAAGGTGAGAAGAGAATTTATATTGAGAAAATGTGGGTGCAGGTCCTGGCTCTGCCACCTCCCAGTTGGGTGATTTTGAGTCTCTTTCAGTCTCCATTTCTGTGTCAACCTCTGCCCCACTCACCCCATAAGGATGTTAGGAAGAGTAGGCAAAATAATGTACAAAAAAGGGATGTGAAAGATACAGAGACTGTACAAATGTGAGCTGTCTGAACTAAAAGTCCCAAACAGGGTCACACCATGAAGCTCACCTTGTTGAGCTGGAATGACTATGGGACAGACAGGTGGATGGATGACACTGCAGACCTTTTAGGTCAAAGATGCAACTTGCTGTTCTGGCAAGATGAAGAGCACTGACAGTCCATAAACAGTGAGTGCTATTCCAGCCACCACTGTCTCATCCACACCACTGTAGTAGCCTCCCAAAGGTGTCTCCCAATTTGTACCCCTGGGGTTTTAGACCACATGAACACCCTGTGTTTTCCTTCACATACACTCACTCACTTTCTCTTTTGGTCCTCTTGCCACAGTGCCCTTTAGCAAATTATGACCACTGCCAGGTATACTTTTCCTTCATTCTTTGCCAGGTAACACTTGTATACTCTTTGACCTTAATATCACCTCCTCAAGGAAGTCTTCCTTGACCTCCTTGGCTAGGTCAAATCTCCTACAATGTAATTCCAGAACCATGAGCTCCAGTTTCCACCAGTTATCTTAGTTTTGATTTTACATTTATTGTTATTAATTGTCTGCCTAACTTGTCCATATGCCTACAAGAACTGGGTTGTTAGGTCTGCAGTGTCCATAGCACTGTACATAGCTCTTTGTCCCCAGCAGAAGCTTCAGACTCAAATCACCTTAGGTTCTAACCCTGGCTCCATCCCTGACTGGCAGGTGACCTAGCTCTTTTAAATCTTATTTTCGTCAGTCATAAGTGAAGAGAATAATAATATCTACTTCATGGAGTCCTTATAAGGATGACAAAAGATAATGAGACTGGAACCTGGTACCTAGTTAGCAAGCACTAAGTTTTCTATTTTTTAAAATTTTTTAAAAATTTTATTCATATGTGCATACAATGTTTGGGTCATTTCTCCCCCTTTCCCCTGCCCTCTCCCTTAACCACCCCAGCCCTTCCCCTCCCCACCACCACCTCCCTTCCAGGCAGAAACTATTTTGCCCTTATCTCTAATTATGTTGAAGAGAGAGTATAAGCAATAATAGGAAGGAACAAGGGTTTTTGCTGGTTGAGATAAGGATAGCTATACAGGGAGTTGACTCACATTGATTTCCTCTGCATGTGTGTTACCTTCTAAATAAATTCTTCCCGAACTAACCTTTTTTTTAGTTCCTGGTTCCCTTCTCCTATTGGTCTCAGTTGCTTTAAAGTATCTGCATTAGTTTCTCTGTGTTGAGGGCAACAAATGCTATCTAGTTTTTTGGGTGTCTTACCTATCCTCATATCTCCCTTGTGAAGCACTAACTTTTAACTAGTAAAATTAGCACAGCTTAGTAAAAATACACTGGATGAATGAATGAAAAAATGAAGTCTGGTACGACTTGGGTCCTTGAGAGGTCACGTGGTATAAGCATGCAGCTTCTAAAGAGAGAGGGAGTCACCACCTCACCTGTGACCCGGCAGCCAAAGAGCTCCAGCCGGAGGGCGATGCCCGAGTGCCAGGTCTGAGGGCGGATCCTGATGAACCTTGTCAGTAGTGGTGTGTGGAGTTTGTTCAGAACCACTTCAGTTGCATCATTGTTGGCTTGAAACACCTGCAATGGCATACACAAAACTATGTTACTGAAATCCCTGTTTGTGATGTAGCCACTTGAACAGTTGTTGAAGGAGGTGGGAAAGCTCTCTTGCATTTAATTTCCTTTACTCTTGAAAATAATCAGTGAGTTTGTTGTTTTGGGCTTTTTTTAGAAACACGGTGAAAAAAATTAATTTATCGCATTGTTCCAACTCGAAAACAATAAATGGTCTTCATAAAAATGTTTGAAGGGAAAGAACATTTTGTCTCTGGGCTGAGAACAAGCAAAGGAAGGAGCCATGAAACAGAAAACGTTTGAGAAGCTAAGAAAGAGGGAAAAAAAGTAGAGTATCCATTAAAAAGGAAGTGGGCCTGACATTTTTTTAGGGCTAGCAGACCTCATACACTAGCTTGAACTTGACACTCCTTATTCCTCATGCTGCAGGCATATAGGAATATTTACAAGGTATTTTATAATTATAAAGTGCTTCGTGGTTGTTTTCATTACTTAGACACATTCTCATTCCATGAGCAAGTGAGTGGGGGAGGGGTGCTGTCTACTTCCAATGCCCTTGTGTCAGTCAACACTTGCTTGGTTCTCCCTGGTCTTTGTTGTAGGATCAGGGTTGCAGATAGTCCCTCAGAGTCCTACTCCAGTTCCTCTCACCATTGTCCCCGCCCTGTAATGAAATCTATCTCTATCCCCAGCTGACCAATAAGGTCTCTGATGGGAGGAGAGGCTTTTTGGAGTAACTTCTGATCTAACATGGTAGGCACAAGCCCTGGCTTACCAGATGGCCCAAATCAATAAATGCCATATGGACCCTATCCTTTTTTTTTTTTTTTTCCTCCATTAAAAAAGTAACTGGAGCAAGAATCTGTGAGTTTCTCTTGGTTTCCCTGGGTAAGGGTAAAGGGGAAATCAACTGGCAAACCATCATTTCTAAGTCATGTCTGTCCATCATAACTATAACAACCAAGGAACCCTATAAATGTACTCATGACCAACTCCTCAACCAGAACTTTCTCCTGCATAGGGGGACTAGATACTTTAGCTCATGATACCCAGGATATGCCAGGTGTTTGGGGGATCAACAGGGCTGGGACAAGAGGAATGGGAAACTGACATGGTTGACACTATATGAACACAATTATGTCTCCAACACCCTAGGAGGCAAACACTATCTCCACTTTACTGATGAGGAAACTGAGGGTCAGAAGCATGTCTGGATCCACAGCCTTTCCACTCATGGTTTCCTAGGTTGACTCATCTCTCTTGGTAAATTTGTAGCATTGATGTTGGTGGTTAGGAGTCATGGAGTCCTTGTGGTCTCCAATCATGGACTGAATGGAAGAAGAATCTTTGTCCAGTGATGGATCTCAGTGTGAGTTTATAATGCTATCAAGGAATAGCTTTGTGTAACAGCGAAGTAGCACAGTTTAGAGGCAGTTAACAATGGCGGTCTTTCTTCCATGAACTGTGAACTCCACCATTTAGCAATCTGAACTCTTCATATTTCCCATTTGCAAAGCTCAAAAGTTAGAGCCATTTAATAACACATCTCAGATGGTGGGGATGAAGAGTAAGAGACATCATACCTTTTTCCACCAAATGAAGGGAATTGGCTTGCTCAAGAAAAAGAAGGCAACAGGTGTTCAATGGTCCACTGTTGTCTAAGCTAATGTTCTTGGTATTAAGCCTGCCAAATCTGGTGACTTCCACTCTGTCCAAGTAGCTCACTGCTCCCTCTGCTTCCTGGGGAGCCCTCCCACCCTGGGCTCCTAAAGCTGTCAGTGTCTCCTGCCACCTTGCTGATAGAGGGAACACAGAGGAAGACCTAGTGGCCACTCCTCTTGCCACTTTACGTTCAGTGACTGAGGATGAGGAGGGGTGAGAAGACAAACTAGCAAGAAAGAGAAGGCCAAGGAAATAGAAGGAACGAGGGCAAGAGCCAGACATGGGAGAAGGCCTGTTCAGAGAGGCATCTAATCTCAGAGAGAGATGACTGACAGAGGGAATGGGCCCCAGGAAAGGCCTGGCCTCGCCATTTCCATTTCTTGCCTCCTTTGTGTGGACAAAAGTCTCCCTAGCTTTAGGGAGAGGGATGGAGGAAGTGAATTCAAGGAAAAGAGATGAATCAGTTCCCCTAGAATTCAGCAGGAGACAGAGGCCTTTTGTTTGTTTTGTTTTGTTTTGGCAGAGAAGGAGCAAATGAAACACTTGGCTGATTTTGGAAGGGTGCTGTGAGCAGAGGGAGGCCACCTCTGGACACCCTGTAAGTGGTGATGGTGACTGTGTGTGTGGCTTCCATCAGGAGATGATGCTAAGGAGCTCATGTCAGGAAAAAGGCTTTATTTGTCACATGAATACATAATTGGAGAGCTGAGTGGATCTGAACTTGCACACAGCTGCTAATCCACAGCATATACACCATGCTGGTATCATTTACAAACACAGCACCTCTTATGGGTTTTTAATACCCAATTTTAATCTTATTTGACCCCTTCATTTCTCAGTCTTGCAGACAACCCCATGAAACCTTTCTGTCACTCCTCTGTAAGGAGATGGTTACACAAGTGGACTGTCTTTGGGAGGGCAGCGTGGACATGAGTGTGGCTGCACGTAGCCATGGGGGTACACACACTTGTACACATTGTGGGGGAGAGGCTGCTCTTCCCTGGATGCATGTAGCCAGAGGCTTTGGATGAAGCCCTCTTTCTCTGCCCACAATGGCACCAATCAGGAAGCGAGGAAAGCACATGACTGATATCCTCTAGGCCATCTTTGTGGGGCTCACATGGAACTTCATTCTACCATTCCATTTTGCTCAGTTTTCTCCCACCCTTGAAATCAAATGACACCTCTTTTCAACTTGGCCTCAAATTATTTTTCATGTTTCTATGTTTCTAAGTCTAGTCCCTTGCTGGTTTCTTGTTTGCTCTTGACCTTGTGCTCATAGCTGCCCTCTGTGCTCCAGAACTTACACTGAAGGAACATCATCTGTCTTAAGATTTCCACACACCTCTCACTTTGAGTGTGGCAGAATGCACAAAACAAAACAAAACAAAACCCACCACTGAATTAAGAGGCAGGTACCAGGCTCGGCACATATGATGGGTAAATAGCTCTGGCTCCTCCAATTCCCAATTTCCTCTTCTGTTAAAGAAGGGGATTGTATAAGTTGATTTCCAGGTCCTCTCTGGTCCCCAGATTCTAAGTCCTTCTGTGCAAGAGTTTTTGTAGTTTGAACTGCTCCAAGCATGTCCACTTTGTAATAGGGCCTTTTAGTTATCCATCATCCCTTATAGCCTAAGTGCTTTTGTGGACAAGTGCTATGGATTTTTAATACACTTCAAATAGTGCCCAGAACCCATGGTGAGTGCTCCATTCACAGGGAGAAAATACCTTGTTGATGTGTTGGTTCAATAACAGTTCAAATTATTAATAACCAAGAGTAATGAATAACGACACCTTGGTTCTTACATATTGTCTTTCACCCAAAGATATCAAAGTACAATTTATGAAAATCCATTTTTAATGAACTATTAAGCAGTTTCTATTTCTCCTGACCCAATGGATTTATAAGATCTCTATTTTTCTCCCTGTATTTCCCTATTTATAGCTAGTAAATGCTATCATATATTATACATCTTTATGACTTTCTCAATGCCTCTGTGGTTTTAGAATCACCCTTCATATGATTTCTGATCAAATTCCCTAAGATGGATTCTTGGCTTCCAGTCTAGCCATTGCAAGGTAAGGGGTTGTGTGCATGGGAAATGATGCCAGGAAATTGGTTTATTCCCTATTCTCTGCCGACTTGCTGAAAATCAATAAGCCTTAGATACCTTGGTTTCTCCTTCAGGAAAATAAAGTTGCTAACAGGCTTGCAGATAGACACTAAAGTTTACCAACCCTTTCTGCTGGCTCCAATACCTGCATAACACCCAGGTCAAATGTGGAAACTAAGTCACAAATGAGTCTTTGGACAATTGGGAGTGTTCAAGCTCAGAAAATCATTGACTCTCAAGTCTACCTTGAAGTCAAAAACTTTCAGACCATCCCTTTTCAGTGAGGTATCTATAATGCTGAGAAATCGGTGGATTATTCATAAATATTATACTCAGATAGGCATTTATCAAACCCAATAATCAAATCTTGATACCTGCTTTAAAAGCTAGCTATTAGAAGGCTCTATTTTTTAAATTAATTTTTAAAGAAAAATATTAACGTGGTTGTTTTATTATCCAAAGGAAAACCAGGAGTATGTTCAAGGTGACCCTAGTTTCCTGGGGATAGTGTTGATTATGTTGCAATTATTAAATATGTGCATGTGTGTATGTTTGTTTTAAAAAAAAAGCTGTGTTGAAGATAAAGATTTCTTCAAGTGCATCTTTGCAAACCAAGTTTAAAAAAAGCATCTCAGGGCACAAAGTGGTTTGGATAATACTCTTGGTGCCTCACTGAACATAACCCAATATTTTCCAATTGATTCTTGAGATCTTTGTTTTATTTTCAGTAAGACAGAGTTTGAAAAGCCACAGCATTTCATGGATTTTCTGATTTGCACCACTGGGGGAAGGGAAACATTTGCTAAGTAAGTTGGCTGCATTCAACATCCCAATTTGGTTGTTATCTACACCCTCAGCCTTCAGGAAAAAATGATCAGTGTGTGTTGACCATGGCTATGAGTTCATGAGACATATACTGTTAGATTGTATAATAAAATGTAAAGTTAAAACTTTTTCTGGCAGCACTGGGATTTGAATTCAGGGCCTCTTGCTTGCTAGGCAGGTGTTCTACCACTTGAGCAACACTGCTAGCCCTTTTTGCTTTAGTTTCTTTTCAGATAGGGTGTCATGCTTTTGCCTGGGTGGCCTCAGACCATGATCCTTTTACTTCCACCTCCAGAGTAGCTAGGGATTATAGGTATAAACCACTATGCCTGGCTTTAAACAACTGTTTCTTATAAATATAAGAAGCATCTAGGTAGAGAGCATCATTGATGGGTTTTGAGT